GGATTGTAAAAGAATTTGAGAAAAAGTGAATTTTTCACAATGATATAGATTAACTTAATTATATAGGATACTTGAGTTTTGGGACAGGAAGCAGAAATGAGTGTGTCTTTTATGACGTTTGAAGTCTAAATCTTGATTTTGGTACTTAATATTGTTTTGGGTGATGAAATTGGAGTACATTTGTAAGAAGTCACTCAACGATTTTTGCTCGATTGTTTTGAGTTTATACTCTTCAGTCGATTGTTTTCTGGGTGGGTAGGAATACAGAATCAACCGAGAAGGGAGTTCTTACGTAAACATGACCCATTTGTATTGTTATGATGATAACTGATTAGGCTTTCTAGTGGTGATATTAAGTTATGTGGAATAGATTAAATAAAAAGTGGTTCAACTAAATGTACTCCAATTTCATCACCCAAAATGATGTTAAACGCTCAAATTTTACCAGGTTTGAGTTATATGGTAGAGGATGTAAAAGGTGATGTGAAGCTGAAACCTAGCCTGTATGGGGCCATAAAGGTAGTTTATTGCATTCCAATCGGGTTTTAGCTGGAAAAAGTAGAAAGAAGGGAGAAGAGATGGAAGGGACTTGTAATATGAATTTGAGAGGTCACATTGATGTCTTACTATGAGATGTTTCGTTTGGATCATTACATCTCCATGTGACAATTAGATTTCCATAAAAAGTATGCGCACAAAGTCCTATCTGGCCATTGTTGTGAATCCAATTATTGCACCAGCTTAATCAAGAGGCTTTTCAAGCTATGCTTTGAAATGCACCAAATATGTAATAATCCAAAGTGAAAATATGAGATTATTGTGGTTTATATTCAACAGCTTGGCTTGGTATACTTTGTGGTAATGCATGTTATAGCAAAATCGAATTCATGTCTGCATTACCTTTTTACTCGGGAAAATAAAGATTGCTGAAAATAATTATTAAAAAAAATAATAAAAAACATAGATTCTTATTCTTTTATTTAATTTTATTTGCATAGTACATACGGTTAAACATATCTCTCCTTTTCCGATTTCAGTTCTTCGGATGGAACTCGATGTACAAAACTTCATGCAACTTCCTGATCTGCATCAATTCGAGTTTCCCCATTTCCCCACTTCATACCTTCGTCTAGCAGCACACCGTGTTGCTCAGCATTACGGTTTACAGACCATAGTTCAGGACGTTGTTGATGGCCAAGGTATCAGGATTACTGTAATAAAAAAGCCAGAGAGTAAGTTTCCTGTTGTCTGCTTATCACAAGTTCCCGCCAAAGATTCAGAAAACAATAAACTCGATCAAATCAAGATTGTCATTAGACCGAGGCCTAAAGCTTCTTCTAGAGACACCAGTATGCTGGGGCTTAAAGATGGCCAAGTAAGATCTGTGGAAGAGAGGAGGGAGGAGTATGACCGGGCCCGGGCCCGTATTTTTAATAGGCCCAATAACTCTGATTGGGAAGATTCAATCGATCGGGATTCTTCTAATGAGGCGAATTTTCATGTGGATGATAATTACTGTGTTGCGGATGGGGACAAAAGCCTATGCAGGGAAACTGGTAGTTCCTCTCGAGTCGCGATTTTTAGAGACAGGGAGAAAGACCGAATTGACCCTGATTATGACCGTAGTTATGACAGGTAAACTTTGCAAAGATAGTAAGAGCATCTCCAATGTGACTTTTGACATTGCAAAAAATTATCCATATCATCAACTTTTGAAAGTTTATTACTAATTTATTCTCCAATGCATCTTGTCATTAGCTCTTTCATGATGATATGGATGGCATTTAATGTTAACAATGTTGAACTCACTTTCTAATATCTAACACCATGTTAAACATGATGACTCATTAATTAACTTTAGATTTGGTTTAATTTTTTATTATTCTTGTATTAATGAATTATTGGTCCACCTATACAAATAAATTCTTATCAAATTGGTGCATTGGAGATACTAGTTTGATTCAAATTTTTAGTCTCTTAACATTATTCTTATGTGGATTAACATTACAATCATCAATTGACATGTGTTAAAAATTATTGCCTTTCAACACCATAGCATTGGAGATGCTCTAAGAGCATCTCCAATGCTCAAATGTTGTTGTGGTAAATTAAATGCCACATCAACATATTAGTAATATGACAACTTTTCATCCTCCAATGTACAGTGTGATCCCAAATGTTGTGGTGATGTGGACATAATTAATGTCTACAATGTAGAGAACAATGTGGTTCATCATTCTCCTCCACACCCTATCTAGCCAATTAAATGAAGAGAGAGAAGTATTCTTACCATTTTCAAGCTATTTAATTATTCAATTAATTTTCTAACTTCTTATTAAAATTTTAATAATTGGTAAGTAGATAATATTGTAGTTAAACTACATTGTGCATTGGAGTTGATTTTTAAATTTCATAGTTGTGAACTTAACATTATTCCTACATGGTTCACAATCTATTTAATTTTATTGACATTTGTCATAATTTAATCTATAACTACATTAAAGCATTGGAGATGCTCTAAAGATAGTAAATGTATATCGTTTTTTTAGCACTATTTGTTAGGTCTCTGCAGTAATCAACTATCTAGAATAAGTAATTCGTTTGTTATTATTATTATTATTATTATTTGGATTTCTTAACACTTCTCAGCATCTGAACAAATCCCTTGTGATGACTTCTTTCTGAAGTTTTTTTTGTAAAATTTTGTTTCTGATCTTTTTTTAGCTGGCTAAACATTCTTCCTTGTGTTAAATTTTTTTATTGATATCTAAAAGAAAGAATTATGATTCTGTTCAAACCCCCATGTCCCGATATATCCAGTCTTTGTTTGTGATGTTCATTTTCTTCTCACATATACCACAGATATGTGAAGAACATCCCAACAGCTCAGGATTTTGGTATGGCACCTTTTAATGTGCAGAAATTTCAACCTCCATTTTTCCAGTTTGATTCACTTCACCCACAAGTTGGTCAGATATATCCTCAACAAGTTTCTGTGGACTTTACGACTCCATTTATGAGCCCATACTCTGCCATAGCGTCAAATCAGAATTCTGAGGAAAGTGCTTTATACGTGCCATGGTCAACCCAGTCGATGATGTATGCTCAGTCGTACGGTCAACTGAGGCACGCATTTTTTCAGGTAGTCGAGGAATGACATCTTTTAGGCACGTCTCGATAACATAATTTTGAATTTTTTTTTTTTTAAAAAAAGGCAAGACCTTTGAGATTTATTCTGTTTCTATCTCGCATTCTATTCAACTTAAACTCGAACGCTTGCTGATGAATAGAAATTCGAGTCGTGTTCTAAATTTATATTTTTTTTTCAGTGATTGCTCATTCTGTGTGGATGCTCTGTGTCTTGTCTTTATCAGTGATGCATTTGCTAGTTATCTTTTTATCTTACATTCAGTGTTTGTCTTAATTTTATATCATTCATCAATTATTTTTCATACAAAATTNGCTTATTATTGTTGTCATTTTATTGAGGAGAGTATGGACTTTATTATTATTCTTACTGTTGCTACTTTATTATTTGTTGCATGATTTTATCTATAATGTAGGTCTCATGCCTGTCTGCTTTTTTGCAAATTTTATGTTGTTATGTCTGAATTAAAATAATAATTTTTGGGTCAGGTTTTGTGTGCTCTTATCTGCATGCTTGAGTCATGTAAGCAAGACTGTACCTGTTTTCATATTGTGCTTGAGTACAAAGATTCTACTAAACAAGTAAGAATTTCCTTGTATAATATGCATTGCTCTTTGATAAATAAACTTGAGAGAAATAGTATATAAACAGACAAGCTATTGGATCTCAGTACTTTTTAAATTTTGATATTGGCTCCATTGACAATTAGCTCATGGCAGATTGCATTAACTTGGATTAATTGATTGGATTAACTGATTATTTTATGTGTTGTAAATAATTAGTTGTTTGATAAGTGAAAATAATTAACTTTGCATCCTCTATTCCAAAAAGCTCTTATATTAAGTTTTTTCGGCATGAGCTTTTTGGATATAAAAAAAAGTATTTCAAACCAGCGTAAAAAAGTATTTTAAAATCCTCTTTTCAAAAAGCTCTAGTCTTGAGCTTTTTTGTTTGGATATAAAATGTATTTCATGCTGCTATTTAACGAATAACTGAATCAGAGGTTCTGACGGGAAAAACCTTTAACCACCGCAAACCTCTAATTTAGTCTAAAAGCTTTATTTATCAAACAAAGCCACTATATGTAGTTATATCTTATTTATCAAGCAAAGCCATTATATGTAGTTATATATAATCGAATATATAAAAGCGTCACAAATAATTTCTAGTCGAATTGATGAGAATAATAAAAGTCCGAGTCAATTTGGTCTAGTCTGCATGCAACAAGTTGGTGTGGATTTTAAAATGAGTATAAATGAGGACTTTAGATGAGATCTATCTATGCTAATGAACTTTGCCATGAATGAAACCGGTTTGAGTTAGGCCTAGGTTTTATTGGATTTTGACTTTAGTAACATTTAACATTAAAATGAAATATCATATTTTAAAAAATAATATAAATAAAAGTATGATATTTCATAATTTGTTAAAAGAATATGACAGATTAATCAGCCTAATGGCTAGACCACAATTTGAAAATAAAAATCTAATATAGATAGATTTTTATTAATGCTAAATTTTTTCGTTTCTCGTTCTTTTTGGGAGGAATTAATTATGACAAAAAATTCATATTGTTCTATTTCATTGATATATGAAAATCTAATTAAGAATCATTAATATAACGATTTAATTATAAATGTGATATAATATTTATATCACATTTAATTATAAAATTTTATTTTAATTAAAGTTTTTATATATAATAATTTTTTTATAACATGTGCATGTGCACATATTAATACTAGTGGATGAGAAATTATCCAAATGCCATTAGTGTGAAAGTATATTACTACATTGCTTTGTCCCCTTTTGACTGTAAACAAGTTAAGAAAAAGATTGCATGCCAGTGGATATTACTACTATTATTATTTCTTTATTTAGTATAGATAATTGGCACTTTACTTCAATTGAAAGATGCACTTTTAGTTAAAAATTTATTAAATATTAAAAACGCCAAATGCTATAAAAACGACTGCACCATTACTTTAAAGGGAAGTGATCAGCAGACCACATCTTAAGATTTCGTTTTTTATCCTTCTGTTTTTTTGTTTTAATTTTTTTTTTCTCTTACAATTTTTGAAGTTATGGTTATATAAAACTGATCAAAGCACATGGGTTGAAGATATAACTCGGGTTTCAACTTTCAATAAATTCACGAGCATTTTATATTGTGATAAAAAAAACAATAATTTAATACTCGGATTATGATTAAAATAAAAAATCTAATTTTAGCACAAAAAGCTAGTTAAACACATTCATTATATAATTTTTTGATATAGTGATTAGAGGGTCTTTATATACTATTAGGGTAGACCACCCATTATTATCTAACCCTAGTAATATTAGGTACCCACTCAATCAACCCATATCAATTTACGTAGTCCATGAACTCTACTTTATTTAGATCACTTAATTGGATCCATTAATTAATTGAATATAGCTAATATAATTGTATATAATATGTTGCACATAATTAGATTATACATAGGAAATTAAATATTTCCTAACAGGATTATGATTGTTATAATTGCATTACAACTCAGATCTACATTTGAACTTTCGATGAAATCAGTCAGAGCAACCACAATGCTTTGGGTCTCTTCCAAAAAATTCACATGCCATGTAAGAAATAGACTTAGTCTATAAAAAAGTGTTTCACAATGCAATTAAAAATGAACTTGGTCTAACTTATGTGACAATAGAGAAAAACAGACCAAGTCCACTCTTTGGTCTACCCATGTGTGAACCTAACAATCAACAATTAATACACATTTATTTATGTCTGTTTTTATTGGTTGATATGTGTTGTAGACCTAGTGTTTTATTTTTGCATTGGAAAGTTCTTTGGTTTTTTTTACTTGAGTTTGTCCATGTCATTCACGATTTAAGTCCAATTATATGTCACATATAAAAAAGAGACCCAAAACATTGTGGCTGCTCTAATAGAACTAATCCGGACTTGATGAGTTAAGAAATTATATGATATATACAAAAATTCAAGTTGTTCGAGCTCATCAAAAAACCAGAATCTTGTTCAAAACATCAAATCAAGAGAAAATTCAAGCCGAACTTGGATACTATTACATATAAAAAACAAACAATTTAAGATAAAAATTCACACAAATCTCAACTCTTTCTCAATTCTTTAACACTGCAAAAGGCAAATCTAAAAAGTTGCTGGATAATATAGTTGTTTAATATTGATTTGCATACAAACGAAAAGATTGCGTTGGGGTTTGGTCTCTTTGATTCATATGAGTATGAACTGTCAAAACAATGAATGAAGCCCGACAAAATCAATATGGGAAATCAGACTCTTTTTTAATTTAATTCATTATTCATTTGAGATTGTGTAAGTTACGTTGTATCTTGTTTGGTTAATGAGATAATAATAAGTGATTAGCGGAGATCGGATCTGTTTGGATAATAAACTAAGACAAAATCTGTGTAGCACGCTATTATTTAATTTGCTGACTTTTTTTTTTTTTTTATTTNAATTATTAATTGAATATCAATACTAGGGTTTTATCTAATTTGGTATATGCAGTATGCTATGTCAGAAGTGTAAATGAATCAAGTTGACCTCGAGCTTGAGCCTTTGTCAACAAGCTCAAGTTTACATTGTTTATCAATACTAACTATTTGAGTTTGAATCTTTATCCAACTCGAACTCGAATCGTTTATCAATATTAACAAGTCGAGCTCGAGTCAAACTGAGTTATAGAAAATTACATAATTTTTTTATTCTCAAACTTCTATAATGGTTAATTATTCGAGCTTTAAATGAGTCTAACCGACTTGAACTCACAAGCGGCTCGTTTCGTTTAACAACTCTATATGCAAATGTACCATTATTGTTGTTCTTATTAATGTCATTATTGTAATTATTATTACTAGTTGTTGTCTTTTTATTTGTACGTTCAACTAAGCTCATCATACCCAATAATGTTGGTTATGCTCAAATAAGCAAATATTATAATTATTGTGACGTGCATTGGAACATACTATTTGAACTAAATAATTGGACTTAATTGGGAATATATTTTAATATTGCCATCGGGCCAAATAATAAAATAACGCACCCTAAAGTTCAACTTTCAAAATCCAATTTTGTATATATTTTTATGTATTTATGATGGGCACACTCACAAAGATCCCTTCACCAATTAATACCCACATTGTATGAAAATCTGCCTTTTCTGAAGGAAATTTTGAATTATCATATTTTTTTGGAATATACATTTGGTTTGCAGTGCTTGATATGGTTTTATAACCATTTGTCTGCAATGTCACATGAAGAATTAAACTGCAATGAATGGCATATTATTGTTTCAAGAACAAAAAGGAAACAAATGAAATTTCGAATTGCTAGAGAAGTAGTAACTATAGCTATGGTTGGTATTAAGTTGTATCTGAATTCTGAGTACAATTCATTTTGACTCGTGAAAGCTCGAGTTTGATTTTTTAATTAACTTAAACGAGTCGAGCTGAAACAAAATTAATCATGTTCGTATATTAAACAAGACGAAGTGAATGTATTTGCGAAATTATTATTTTGTTCGTTTATAAAATGAGAAAAAATTTAAATATGAGATAGTTATCTCGAGTGGCCTCGAATAACAATCTAGCTAGCAGTTTTAACTGCTAATAAATTTAGTTTTCAAATCTTCGAGCAGAAATTTGTTGAACATAAAGTAAGTTTAATTTGTTTCAATAAATAATTTGGTTAACTCCATGTTTTTCCTTTTTTCACAATTGCCAACACCAAATTATACTACTAGGATCTCTCAATTAATTTCCATGCACTATTTATTGCTTTACTATTTTCTCAAAAAGATTTCACAATCAGCGCGCTTTTTAAATAAACATAGTTATATATTATCAACAAATCACGACTTAAGCCACAAATCATTTGTTTAAATTAAATGATTATAAATTACTTGAAAACCATCTAAGTCTAAAATGATTTAAATTTACTTGACACATTATTCCATATTCCCATTACTAATTCCACAATAGAACTTTAAAAAATAGTTAAATGCTAACAAAGTATTCTGTCTCATTTCATGCGAAATTCCCACATATCTCACCTACTAAAAAATCTTTGGAAGCCTAGAACATAGAATGGGTAGGTATATGATAATAAATAATTAACAATTTAAAAAAGGGATGTAAATGCAAGCATGTGATGTGATAAATATTCATTTAATTAAGATGATAAAAAAAAGGAAAACAGGAAAAGGCTTTTGTTGTTAGGTTTTAGCTTTAATTATTACACAAATGCTGTTGTGAGCTGCGTGGAGCTAATTGACAAGTGTAGAAAACATAAATTTAAACAATAAAATAACTTATCTTTGTTTGTGGTGACATGTATCATCTTTTAATGTGTGATATTTTCACAAAAAATATAAATATTTAATAAAAATATGTTCGACATACATAAAAATTTGAGTATGATCGAGACAAGAAAGGTCTGCTTAATGCAGTTAAATTAAACGAGTCTTGTACTAAAAAAAATAAAAAGTTTAAACGAGTCTAATTCAACTAGAGAAGCAAGATTTGCCTACGAGCATCCACACACAATCATAAGTATTAATAGTAACTCAAAAGTATAGAGTTTTTATGGAACTCAACACAAAGAGGCTAGCTAAATGAAACCTCTAATTTAGATTCTAACCACATAAACCACCAAATTCAATCACTGCAATTTAACTTTGGTGTGAATAAACATCTTTTAAGCACTAAAGACATCTAAATAAGAAGAGAATTATCAAATCTTAAAGATCACTAAATTAGGGCCATATTAAATTGTTACACTTGCTCTGTTTCATCATCAGATTAACACTAGATTTCACTGAATTTTCTTACAGAGACAACAGTACTGAAAGCTGATGTACAAATCTGGTAAAAAAAACAAGACCAAATTATATCAAATCTCGAAATCCCACAAGAGATCGTTCGAAATTTACAAGCTTCGCACTTCACATTTGTCGATCATTAGGCGACACAAAACCGGCACAGAATGTGACAAGAGCATCCAAGAATTAGGAATCAGGCAAACTCTACAACACAAAACACATATGAAAACAGACATTATAGTAATCAGACAGCAAGAACAGATCGACAGAGAGGAATAATAGAGTTCTTGTTATTGATTCTTGATAGATTTCAAAAGACACTACAACTACATTTACAACGATCTCTACACATTTGAAACTAAACGAGAAAGTTCAAACACGGGAAGCTGCTACATCGCTACAACAATATCCCACAAACGAACACGAAACTAAGATGAAAAATCCCGCAAAAGATTTACGCAGTCTGTAGAGATTTTTTCATCACCATATACTCCAAACTCGTCGAGAAAATCACAGTGCTAACTAAAGATCTTTACCTAAGCCTTATCCAACAATCGAGTTGGCCACTCTTTTCCCCGACTCAAAAGTGTCATTCGATTACTTTTCGTCACTACAAATTTCAACTCTGCACAGACGAACTTTCACTCACTAGACTGACTAACGAGCCTGACCAATTAACAATAAATTCAACCGGCCAGCCACAAACTCAAGAATCCCACATCGAACTTAAAAACAGAAATTCACTAAACAGATGGCCCTAAATAGCCAACAGCTTGATTGATCGATAGGAGCATCAAGAACAGATCAAGAAAACACGAAAGCATCACGAAAAGAAATATATATAAAAAAAAAAACTACAAATGCGCAAAGACTGCATTTTTTTTTTTCATCCGACCAAAGTTTCAAGCTTTAATCATCCCCAGTCGGAAAAAGGGTGAGGACCTTTCTCCCATTTGCCGGCTCCACGTCATCGGCGTAACCCAGCGGGCCCACACCGTTGCTTCCGTGGACCGGCGTCCCGATCCTCTGCATCTGCGGGCCCCCGAAATGCCGGAAATGCTGCTGCATTTGGTGGTGGGCGGCCGCTGGCGGCGGCGGCGGGCCCACCATCTGGTGGTGGTGGTGGTGGTGCATAGACATCGGGACCAGCGGCAAGAAGTGGTCGGAGGGTCCGGTGGAGCAGGGTCGGGACTGGTGGAGGAAGTGAGGGGGGACAGGGGAGCTGGCGAAGAGGTGGTCGGTGGCGGCGTCGACGGCGGCGGCGGCGGAGGCGGGGCCGGAGGAGATGCCCTGCATACGCTTGAGGTAGAGGCGGTATTTCTGGAGGTGGCTGGCGACGTTCTCGCGGGTGAGGCCGTCGACGCTCATGAGCTGCATTATGGTCTTGGGGACGGCGTTCTTGATGCCCAGGTGGGCCACGGCGTCGACGAACCGCTTGTGGAGCTGAGGGGTCCAAACGAGGCGGGGGCGCTTAAGGGTGCGGGCGGGCTCGTCGGCGGCAGCGCCGCCAGAGTCGAACTCGGCGGAGGAGTTGGGCTGGGAGGAGGAGTGCGGCGGAGNCGTGGTGGGGGCCGGGGATGTTGAAGGCGAGGGCCAGATCAGGGGTGATTAGGGTCTGGGAAAGGGGGGTAAGCTCCTCCGGCGCCGGCAATTCCTCCTCCCATTTCGAAAACCAGTTCGAATCATCCTCCCTCATCTCTCTCTCTCTCACTCTCTCTCTTTCTCGAGTTCCTAGATCTTTTCCAGCACAGAAAACAACGAAATTAATAGGGGGAAAAAAGACAGAAAGATACGATTTTTATGGGAAAGATCGAATTTTTATGCCTTTAGGAGGGTGTTCAATTGAGTAAATCCTCGCCCCATCTTCTCCAAATCAAGAAATTAATACGAAATTCTAGACAGAGTGAGGAGAGAGAGGGATTGTATGTGTGTTTGTGTGTGAAAGAAGGATGAAGATGATGATGGGAGAGGTGATCGAGGTGGATCTTGTTTTTCTTCTTTTTTCAGCTGTTGTTAAGGTTACTGTTGTTGATGCTTTTCTTTTTTTCTTCTTTTTTTTTAATCTTCTCCTGTGATTTTTTTGTGCTCTCTGTGTGTATAATGTGTGTGTTGTCTGTGCTGTGGTGGTCTAATTTTTTCCAGGATTTAAGGGCCTCCTTTTGATATACTTTTCCTGAGTTTTANTCAATGTCCCTTTTTAGAGTTTGTGTGCTTACTCAAAAGAAAGCTAGGAGAAAAAAAGGGTTCTTGAACTCAATAATTCCTTCATCTACTAAAATGTTAATTATAGTTTATATAGACTATATAAATTCCACACAAGTGTGTTTATACAAATCAAGTCCTATGCACTTTTAACATTTACATAATTACAAAAATACTTACCTACGCATGTGACCATAGTAAAATGTGTCTACCAATCATATGTCATAATTTAATGAATTTTTAACATTATATCCATCATATTTATTATGTAATTTTTTGCTACATCAGTTGATAAATATATATAAACTCTAGTCCATTGTGGAGACGTGATTATATTTTTTTCAACATATATAAATGTTGACATTAATTAACATAAAATAAATAAAAATATAATATTTCATAATATAAAAAATATTTTTATTTAAAAAATCACAATGAGGTTGGCTCACACACAAGATTTGTATACATCAATTATTAGCAAGTGGAGAAAGTTTATCAATTGTCTTGGCGCGTGGAAGTCACGCTGGGCTGTTATTGGTCGAGAACAATCAAAACAGGTGGTCAGGTGATTTTGTATGGGGAAGAAAATTAAAGATGAAGTCAAGATCTGATACAGATTTTTTTGGGTCTGAGAAATAGGAAGAAAGAAAGGAGATGGAACAAAGATTTGCTATTTATAGCCTTCTTTTTTTCTCTATCTGTTACTTTATTTTATTTTATATTATATATATATATATTTTCTTTTTTTGCTTTTTAAGATGTGGAGAGTGTGTGCTACNAAATGGAGCTAAAAAGTCTTTTAGGTCCCTCTTTGGGGATTTCTTTTTGGGTTTGTTGTTTGTGTGGGAATCAAATGAAGTTTTTATTTTGTCTTTTTTAATGGGGAAATTCAAGGTGTTGACTTGAGGACAGATTGATTGACCTTATTTTAAAGGATATATAGCATCTCTATATTTTGTTTAATAATGGGATGTTAGAAAAATCCCATTTTGAAAATAAAATATGATCTTCCAACATTTGGGGTGTTGTTAGATAACAATCAAATATTAGTTCAATACTTCAATTACAATAATATCACTATTTTCAAATGAGTGCTATGCTATTTTTAATTTATAGTTATTTTAATAATACAAAATCATAATATATATAAAAATAAAAATAACAACACTATTTCATATAAAAATAACATAAAACTCAATTAAAAATAGCATTATATAACGGTTGTCACACTGATTTTAATTAAAAAAAACTCCATTTCAAAATCATTTTTCAATTGATGATTTTAATTAATAAAAACCCAGCATTTCATAATCATTTTTCAATTGTTGAGATAGTTCATGCTAATAACATGTGAGGATTTTTAGTTTAATGCCAGTCCCTTTCACAGAGTATTAAATAATTCATAATCTTTGAAGCGTCACATTAAAAACTAATTATAATTGGCAAGCATTCAGATTAGTTTGCCTTAATACTTTTAATTTTTTTGTGGGCACAAGATGCAAATAATAGAAGCTGATAAGACAAGACGTAATCAAATATTTTGCAAACATATAAGTCATTTTTTAATTTTATATTCTGGGACCATTGGGCCAGGATAGCTTAAGATATTATTTAATATTTATGAAGTACAAATGAATAAATAGGAAATTATAAAATAAAATTTATCTTGAAAATAAACAAAAATAGGTTAATGTGAACCTCAAACTTATTTTTTTGGAACAGACAGATAAGATAGTGTTTTTTTGGCTGTCAGTAATAGGGAATATTTTTGGGGTGCTCGATGTGATTAGTGGTGATTGCTTGTAATAATAATAATTGACTTTGATTTCTAAAAATACCTTATTTTAGTTTGAGGTTCAAGAAGTTAATGGCGTTTTTGTGTTCAATTAGGTGAGATGTCTGAAAACTTAAACCTTTATGAAAAAAGCGCCAAGGAATCTTTTTATCTTGATTTTTTTAAATTATTAGTCATAAAGTAAAGTAGTAGGGGAATTGAAGATTGTATTTCTGCTAACAAGAAAAAATTGTGGCTGTAGGTCTAAACAAACCGAGTCGAGTTTGTATTTCTGATACGAGTTAAAACCTTAACGAGCTAAAATTGTCTTAAAAGACGAAGTAGGAAAAAAATTTAACGAGCCGAATAAATCTGAGTTTTTAAGTAGTTCTTTTCGTTTAACAGGTTTAAGTGTGGTGAAATGAAAATAGAAAATTTGTGGACTCATTCGGATTTTAAATTAGTTAGTAGGTTTTCAATTCAACTAGTATTCGACCTGTGCATTTGCACAGATATAAATAAATTATTGTGAGTCTGTACATATAATGATTAATTATTTTTCTTTCACTTTTTTGCAGACCAAATTACAATTAAAAGAGTTGGAATATTTTTTTTTTAAATTGCGTTTATCTGATTGGATGTAATGTATATTTTGGTACGTCTTTTATTTGTGAATTATTTATTATTTATATAGGAATTCCAAATATATTTTTTATTTTTAAAAAAAAAAATTAAATGTAACAACAATAATAACATCTAATCACATTATACGGTCAACACATTATATGGTCAACTGTCATTAATCAAAAGTTTAAAATAATTTTTGTAATTTTGAAGTGATGAGTATTAATTATTTAATGATTAAATGAAAGATTAAATACATCAAAATGTAACGATTTTTGGAGGGAAAATTGTTAAATTGCCACATAGGTAAAATTAAATAGGTTTTATTAAATTCTATTAGCTAGTAATTATATATATATAGATTATACTCATTCAAATTATATTAAAAAAATTCTAACAAATTGGAAAAATCAATATCGTTTTATTAGAAACTAATATTATTATTTGTACTAGAAAAATATTTATTTTGATCTGTAGGATTAAAACCCCCTCTCATACAGGCTCACAGAACTCTTGTGCAAAAACAAAAATGTACTACCGCTTTATCCACATTGGTATATTTTGCAAAGATGGTCCATATTTAGTACAATTATTTTGTGTACTCTTTGCATTTAATTCATAATAAAAAAAAGGTTTTATTGATTTTCAGCATGCTTAATGAGAATTTTCAGTCAATTTTACTTTTCATTCCACACATCATAATAACTAAAGAATTGAATGAAACCCTTGTTAAGACTTTGAATCAAATTATTTGTCATTTTTACATAGCTTCAAAATTATTTGGAATTTTAACATTTGATTGAACCAATTACATTTAGGGGATCAATGAGACGAGTTGTTAACTAAACGAACTAGTAATCGAGCTCGAGCTTGGCTTGGTCATCAACATTAACAAGTTGAGCTTAAGATTTAATTAGCCAGATTATTAAAAAATTATATACAAAATTTTTATTTACGAACGTTAACGAGTCGAGCTAAGCTTGTTAAAATAAATGAGCTTTTATCAAACAACTCGAGCGTACTCTAGTTTTTAGCGTTGCGAGCCTAGCTCACGAGAGTAGTAGTACATTTCAATTAACAGCTCTAATTAAAATCAACCTCGTTACTTTAAAAATATAGGTAATCAAAGACTTAATTAACAGGTTAAACAAAATAACTTGATCAATTTATAGAACTATATTTTTATTTATGTAAATTCTTTTTATTTAAAACATCAATTAATTTGGGGGACCAAATTAAAGCAACTTCACTAAAATTAACTGTACCATTCCCTGATGATTCAGAGACATTTATATACATTTTTATAATTAAAAGTGGTTTACAGCTACCATGTAGACTAGTAGCCATTTAACCTGTAGGTGTGACAGTCATGTTCAAAAAATTTAAATATATTTAGATACTTATCTGAATGACCTATATAATTTATGCCTATGGATATCCGTACTATATTCCCATTTATCAACATTAAAGATTGTTAAATTGTGTCAAAGTAGAATTCAAATTGTATCAAATTAAAACCAAACATTTCTTCATATTTCTGTACACAAACTTTACTAGTAATTCATTCACATTTTTTAACTTAATTTTATTTTTATATACCAATTTTCTATCATCTTTCTACTATTAATAAAATCATTAATGTTTAAGTATATGTTTTATAAAAAAGTCACCTTACATATCCATTGGGAGCCAAGACATAATTAAAAGTGACAATATGAAATATTAAGCATACATAGTAATGTCGAAATCGTGATGCTAATTTATCTACTTTTAAGTCCATAATATCAGAAAATGTGTTGTGTTGTATGCATGCAAAGATGAGCATAATCTAGACAAAGATTAGAACAACTTGATAAAGATGGTGAAAAAAAATCATAATATTCTCAATTGCGAATCTGAAAAAGTTTATTGCCATAAATAGCCTCAAGAATGGCATTTGACACATTTGTGAGGACGACCAGATTTAAGGAAAAAAAAAAATAAAAAAATATAAATCTTAGAGCACCTGCAATTTTGCTGCTTGTCCAAAATAGGAAATGATAATGAGATAACTACATAAGCTACTTATGTTACTTTCTTGAGTTTCCAGCTTTTCGTGATCTATATTTTAGAAATTACGACAATATTGGTGAGTAATTTTTCACAGTTGGATCAATACAAATATTCACGGGTGTGTTGATCTAACGGTGAAAACCTCTGCAGAGTGCAGACTGCAGTCAAGAGTAGAATGAAATCTACCCTATATTTTTATATATTTCCTATTTCTACTCAACATTTATTTATTTTTTAATATTCCTTCAGTGTAAAGTTTTAGATTGTGTATGGACTCATGAATTAAATAAAAAAATATTTCATAGTTTGGAACTGGAAAATCATAATTGGTAGAGAGAGAAAGAGACCATTGAGAGAAGTTTTGGGATAAAAGAAATCAAAATTATTAAATCAGTTTGATTATTTTAAAGCAGAATTATTCTATAATTATGTGAAATAAACACCTTTTTCAAAAAAAACATCAGACGATGTCAGAAATTTGATGATTTCATAAAACTATTAAAGGACTGGCATAGAAAATGATCAATTCCTACAGATTCTGTAGTATTCTGTACAATTTCTTTGGCAAAAATTTAGCACTCACATATATTTTCATGAAGAACGCGGTTTTAAAATGAACCCCGGGAGACGAAAAAGGGAACTCACGGCAGATCTTAGTCGAGTCCTGCTCATGATAGTAAAAAAGCAACTGTCTCAGCTAATTCAATATACACAATTGTATTGGTGTAATAATTTGAGCCACAAAGTAAAACCAAACGACACATACCAAAGAGCTATATGACTTGGTTTGCTCGAGCAAAGTTCAAATTCCGAATCGTCTTCCTTAGCAGTCGAGTGCACGAGCCTCTGAAATTTTTCCGACAACTTTTCATATGACCCAACATTAGATGGCTGCACTTTCTTGATTCCAACTCTCAAGTGTTCCATTGTGATTTCTGAGGCAGATAAGTTCTCCTGATTGTAAAAATAAATAAAAAAAAAAAAAAGTAAAATAATGATGATCATGAAAATAATTTATGTAAGATGTGAATAGATAGATAGTGATAAAATATTACTTCAATAGCTGCAATGGCTGCTTCACGGCATATAAGAGATATATCGGCACCTGTGCACCCTTCGGTAAGAAGAGAGAGCTCACTAATGCACACTTCAGAAGTACACGGCATTCGGTGCAGATGCACGCGGAATATAGCTTCCCTGTCTTTTCTACTCGGTGGTCCCACGTAAAGCAATCGATCAAAACGCCCTATAAATTCTCGGCAAATTAGTTAGGCGCACATCAATCAATCAAAACGCTCTATAAATTCCCAGCAAAATAGAGAGAGAGTATACCTGGCCTGAGAAGAGCAGGATCGATTTTATCTGGCCGATTTGTAGCAGCTATAACAGTCACACTTCCTCTTTGTTGCAAACCTATATCATTATATATTATTATCTTAGAGAACACTAAAGAAATAATTTTTCTGTTTCCAAAATTACAAAGAACCTCTCAAGATAAGATTTTTCGCCTTAAATTCTACAAACTCGATACTTCTCCTGGGGTTTTTAGGAAACTCCTCAAATCCCAGGGGCAATTTTGCAATTATCCATAAATTACCGTCCAATTCGACAAGAAGCTGACTAATCACCCGATCACCAACCGAAATCCCGTCACTTTCTTTCCCACGAATTACAGCCAGACCATCAATCTCGTCGAAAAATACAATTGAGGGAGCATTGGCCCTCGCTTTAGCGAACAGAGAACGGACTGCCTTTTCAGATTCACCAACCCATTTGCTGAAAAGCTCGGGACCTTTTACTGCAAGGAAGTTCAGCCCAGCTTCTGAGGCCACTGCTCGGGCCAAAAGAGTTTTGCTGCAACCCGGAGGACCAAACAGCAATATTCCGGTTGGGGGACGGGTCCCTACACGCTCGAAAGCTTCCTTGTGCTTTTGAGGCCATAAAACGGCTTCCATTAGCTGTAACTTAACCTCCTCTTGACCACCCACATCGTCCCAGCTAACTTTAGGGATTTCAAGAATTACCTTGAGAACACACAGGGAAATCAAGTCAAACCAGAATTAAAGCACAATTTTTTATTTTTTTTTCATGTAGCATAAAAAGTACCAATAGAAATGAATCCGAAAGTTTGTGCAAGAGGGATTCTTTTCAGATGGGGCCCCAATTNTCTTTCTGTTTGTCATTTTTTTTTTCTTTTAAAGATTTCTAATTTTTGGTACTTTTTACTTTGAAATTGTTGGATGCATTAAACGGGGGTCATTCTGACTCAAACATTTTGAAGTATTTTGCATAGAATTTGTATAAAAAAGTAAAGGACACAGAATAAAGTTGCAAAACACTGCATGAAGATGTTTATGCAATGATTTTGCAAAAAATGGATCAATTTACCTCTCTCATGGCACTTGGCCTCACTCTAATTTTAGCCTTCTCAAAGTCATCAGAAGTAACTCTCAACTCGTCCGATGAGTTTTGCGTGTCTGAAGTGCATGAAAAAGCAGCTTCCAGATTAGCCTTCGGATAATCTCCTAAATTTCGAGGATACTCGGAGTCACCATCCGAGTCAAAATCTAGTGTATTCTTTACAGATTGACAAACCGAATCAACTGCAGTCATCTGGAATTCGAAATCTGAATCACAGTAACTAATAATAATATTTGATTTCACATACTGCCTAAGACGCATCAAGGCAGCCTCATTGCACAGTGCAGCTAAATCGGCTCCAACAAAACCGTGTGTGGCCATAGCAAGATCTTGAATATTTTTGTCCGAAAGTGAATGCTCCATTTCATTAAGAAGTGCAAGTAGTATTTCGTAACGTTGCTGTGAAGATGGAACACCTGTATGCATATATATATTAGAAAAACTGTGAGAGAACATTATTTGGTCTCTCATAATCACTCGGTAACTATAAATAGGTACAGTCGAGTCAAAGTCAACATAAAAAATGGTAGGATTGATATTTAGATGCAAGGAAAAATTTCGCAAGAGAAGATTTTTGTTTGTAACAGGTAAAAAGTGAAGGACAATATAATAAGAGCCCTTAGATATTTTCAAAGATACCTATTTCTATTTCACGGTCGAGTCTTCCAGGCCGTCTAAGAGCAGGCTCAATACTGTCTGGTCGGTTTGTAGCAGCAATAATAAGTAAACCATCTTTTCTACTTATTCCATCCATTAAATTTAAGAGAGTGGCCACCATTCTCTGAGACAGCTCGTCTCCTCCATCTTTACGGGCGGGTGCAATGGCATCCAACTCATCTATGAAAACCTGCATACGACGATACATCTCTTAGAAGAAAATACACATTTACATAGGGAAATTTTTAATAGTTACCACTTAAACTTGAAAATGTCAACCAGCAGGGATCAGCTTATAAACTGTAAGTGACAAATTAGAACTTACCACAGCAGGCAAAGCCTTGCTAGCATTCTCGAATACTTCATTCAATGCTTGCTCGGTTTCTCCATGGTATTGACTAATGATCTCAGGCCCATTTATGGAAAACATGTTAACACCAGCTTCATGAACACAAACTCGAGCCAAAGTGGTCTTCCCAGTTCCTGGTGGTCCATGAAGAAGCACCCCTTTTGTGGGTCGTAAACCCAAGCTAAAATTTGAACAATAATCACATAGATGAAAAGAGCAGACATTGATTTTTATATCAAAAAACAAGTTCTTTCAGATTTTTCACGCGAAGAAATTGAATATGCAGCATGTGATTCAAGGTATACAGAAAGGTGATTTTTGTTNNAATTAGCATACCCCCGCCTACCTTATTAGACCAGTCACTAGTGGATGTTAGATCTTTCTCATACAGTTACTAGGATGACCTGTAGAGCTCAGGTTAACTTGAAATTATCATTTAGAATGTAGTTTACAGCTATAACATGGATTTGTGAAATTTACAACCATATGTCCGCATCATTATTATAGTATACATGATTCTGATCTGAGGCCAGATTTATGCATTCACATGAATCAAGAAACTAAAGTTGAAAATCTCTCAGCAAAACTATACAATGATTATTGCTTAGCAAGAATAAGTCCAATAATGTGGACACAAGAGCAACAACAACAACAGCAACAACATACCCAGTATATTCCCAACAGGTTGGGGTCTGGGGGGGTCAGTTGTACGCAGACCTTACCCTTGTAATTATACAAGGAGGCTGTTTCCGTAGCGACCCAAGGTGCATTGCGCCGTTGATATATTTTTTTTTTCTAGAAACTTCACTAATAGAAGAAGCACTAGAATTTAATTGAGCCATTTTGATCTAGTCCATTATTAGCACTATGCCAGGAGAATTGTCAACAATGGCTCTTCCAGCTCCATTTGCAATGGACAAAATGTGGACACAAGAGCAAAACAACAAAAATGGATCCAATATTTTAAGTAAATGGCAACACGAGAGGTTAGGATACACACCTTGCAACTGTAGATTGCACAGCTGATGAAACTATAATATCTCTTAAAACTGCAAATTCTTTAGAAAGACCCCCCAACTTTGAATACACAACTCCCGAACCATATTTGTAGGATGCTTGCCCAAGATCTGGATTTACCGTTGAACTCTTCACAGAAGCTTCAACCATGGAATTTCCGGGTAGAAGAAAACGAACTTTTGTACCCCATTCCAGAAGGAAAGCAGCCACCACATCTTTTCCTATATCTTGATCTACAGCAGGACTATCATGATTCTCACTACTCGAAAATTCACTATTTGGCAATGCTCGTTTGGTATTTACAACCCGGAAAACACATAGCCCTGAAAGTACTGGGACTACAACCAAATTTCCCGGGAGTAACCGTCGTGAATTTAACCATGAAGCTGTGCAGGTTTCTAGAAGCTTCCGCGAAGACTCGTCCCGAATAACTTCCTCCATGTCAAAAAATATGGTCATCGATGCATGAGGCATTAATATCGTCTTTGATGAGGACTTGTCGTGATTTGACATACGAGACTGTGTTGAACGAGGAGAGTTGACTGTAGAGTCCGAAAGAGATGGTGTCCTTGGGGATGAGTCGTGAGGCAACCTGCCAGCATCCTCCATTTCTACTTTACCCTTCAAACAAACAGGATATAGATACAACTCCTTGCAGTTCTCTAATGATATACAAGTAGTTAAGAGACCATTCTGCTTATTATTTCGAGATTCGGTTGAGGGGAGACACTTAAGAGGATTAACGAAAATGGTCCTGCCTGAAGCTGGAGAACCCATACTATATGAGAGGTTCAAGGACAAGCGCACCCCATTCTTCAAGACCTGTGTAAAGAGAAAACTACTTATACTTGAGAATGAAGGAGAAATAAGGCAGATGAAAATAACTAGAACCATAACTACAAATTATGTAGACATAAAATTGCAGTTTTTAGGCTCATTGGAGTTGGATCGTAACTAAAACCGATAAGGAACAAATGAGCTGGAAACAGATAAAGCCCATACTAGCTAGCAAAACAAAAATGATTTTTGTGATAATTCAACCATCAATTAACTGGAAAAAGCCAACGCCCGCTTACGGAAAATGGAAATATAGAGAAACCAAAATGCATAACCAAACCTTACAAGATGGGAACACTGTAGCCAGGGCAAAAAAAATTCCAGGTTCATCGCCCGAATCATCTGCCAATTCAAACCCAAAGCGTCTCGCACACTCATTGGACAGAGAACTCAAAGGAAACCCATTCACAGCTTTGTCCCAAGCAGAAAGGGAGACCTGAAAATGTATATGGCTTTACAACTTAAATAGATAATTATTTCAGCATCATTGTTGCAGATTTCGTAGCATGGATTAATTTACGCCTCAAGTTGCTCACTTTATCATAATAATCAATCACAAAACTAAGGCACTAAAACATAGTTTCAATCATAATATTATGGAAGTCACAAGTGATTATGTTCCACAAAGTTACTCTTTAATCATCAAATTTTCAGAAACACGATTGGTAAATGTGAAGAGAACCCGAAAGAACGTCTACCGAGACAAGGGAGCCGGGGGCAATGGAAGACGAAACCATGGCGGGCTCGGAAAGCCAAACTCTGCAGCTTCTGGAGTCTGGTACGACGTCGTCCAGAACATTGCCAATAAAAGCAGCTCGGGAAATGAGAGATGGGTATTTTTCTGCAGCCTCATCAAGGGACGTCAGCAGCTGTTCGTTGCTCGGCGGCGTGAACGGCGATGAGACTGAAGAAGAAGCAGCTGATGGTGAAGATAAATCGTTGTGTCTTCCATCGGAATTGGAGGGTTTTAATGGTGTTTTTGAGTTCTTTTTCTTGGAAGGCATTTTTTCGCAGCTGGGAAATGACTAAAATCAAGAAACAAGGAATTTGTAGTGAACTTTGATTTTGTTGCAGGGTTGGCCTTTAAACCCTGAGCTAGGGTTTTAAGAACCAGAATTGGGTAATTTTAGAGGGAAATTCTGTGGTTCTATATATTTTTTTTTATTTTTATTTACTAGTTTAATTAAATCTATTGCTTGAACTTTTAAGTTTCATCAAATGTCACCGACAAAAAAGAACTGTTTCTTTTTTTAGAAGCATTTAATTTATTATTTTCTTTTTTATTTCTGTATATTTTAAAATATTTAAAACAATGTTTAACAAAAGAAATTATATTTAGTGTGAAAATTTTAGAGGATTAGCAAAAAAATTATATTTAGTGTGAGAATAAAAATGCATATTTTTTATGTGTTTTTTTAGTGTGTTTTTGCCTATGATTATAGTGTGTTTTTTTATTTATTGTTTTTATTTTATGTCAAGTGCAATTTGTATGGAACAAAATTACAGTTTAGGAGATAAAAATGAAAATAAGCCTTTTTTATTATGATGGAAATTCACAAAGCTAGGATGATTTCATTACTTACCACCAACTTTATTATTAATATCCATGGTTCTGAACATAGGACTTTTATTATATAAAAAAAAACACATGAAGATCCCTACATTCATTCATAATGCAAACAATATAGTTAACATGTGGAATTTTTCTTGCTTCAAATTAGAGCCAAAAGAACAAAGAATTCAAAACAGCAAAAAGTTCCAAAAAATCAAAGGAACATTCATTATATCATCCATAAGTCATAATAACCAGTCACAATATGTCTTGTTAAAAGAACTTCTGCAAATTTTCTTGCTTCCCAACAAGCTAAAAAGAAGAAAGAATCTAAAAAAAAACATTAGGACCTCCTAAAAACAAAAGGGACATTCATTCAAGATGAAATATGTCCCCCCAGAAACCCATTCATCAACAAGATAAGATGCCTTGTTTTGTTTTGTCATGATGAGTAATTGCTGATTGTGAAAACCATTAGCGACTGAGCTGGCGGTAAGAGCGCAACCGAGCCTCGATCGTAACTCGAGTACTTCTTATAAATCCCCCTCAGCTTATGTTCTCCTGCACCCGCATGGAATGAAACGAGTAGCTTCGCACAATCCCTGAAAATTCACATGATATAGAAATCCATAAATAACTCAAATCAACTAACAGAATTAAACTGTTGTTCAGAATTAATTAAACTCACATAAGCTGTTTTTCGGAAAAGCCCGTGTGCAGTTTAAGCGTCTCGTTCCAAAAGGGCGCTTTGTTCAGTGTACATCTGGCAGCATATACAGCCGAGGCAGCTATCATCGAGGGGCAGTACATGAGTGTCGTGTAATTCATCATCCCAAGCTCGGCTAGAAAATACACCATGTTTTCCACCTGCATTATTCATTCTCATCAGCAACAATTTTTGCAGCCAAAGAATTTTTTTTTTTTAAAAAAAAAAAAGAAAACTCACGTTCGAGTCGGTTAGAGAAGCCTTGATGAAACGCACGAGAAAAACGTATGGGGTCGGCACAGTTAGACTCCACTCTAACTTCCCCAATATTTGCTTCTCCATGACCAAGATTTGTTTGTCAGTGTAAGTTCTGTCTGAAATGCTCACCAACTCATTGACCTGCCAAGGGATTTAATTAATGAAGTAAAAATGAATCAAAGTTTTAATCTTTTTTTGATGGCCTTAGGATGTTTAATATAACAATATACCTCAGGGGCCCAAATTTCTTCATACTTTGAGGCAATTAGCATTGCACCCAAGCCCACTAACTGTAGTTCCTTCCTTGAGGTGGTCTTAACGGCCAGAAATCGGTCAAGAATGTTAACTGTGAGGTAAAGGGTCTCGGGTGAGAGCTCGAATTTGCTATGGACCTGAACCAACCAGTCTACAAGTATTGCCCGCATTTTCTCGTTTATCTCGGGCTGCGAGTCGATGTAGCTGTGAACCCAACCCTCATTCTGTACAACAAAGCATGAAATACTTAGCAAGCAGATTTTACATTATTTTAGTACATGAAACAGATTTTCAAGTTAATAATGAGAATATGTTAGACCTCAGCTGATTTGTAGAACTTATACATATCCTCAACATATTCGACAGCCGCCAGGTCGTTATTCACATCATCAGCATCAATATCCACTATTTTCTCCTTTAGCTTGTTACTCAGCCCACAAGCAGCCTGTAAAAAAATTCAATACAGCCATAAATAAAAAGGGTTATGAGAATGAAAAATCAAATTTCAGTTGAAGTTTTATATTTTGTTTCACCTTGCTTCTTGCACTGAGAGTAGAAGTAAGAGTCGGAGCTTTCTTTTTCGACGATTTTCCTATGGGCTTTTCCTTGTTGGGCTCGGTAACTCTTTCAGTATCAGGGCTGATTTCGATGATCTCTTCTGGCTTGGGCTTGACTGTGGCCTTCTTCCGAGCCGGTTTTCGAGCCACGGCTCCTTTCTCTGGCAATACTCCATTGGCATTCACATTCTGAACAGGAAAAAAAAACATTTTAAATACAACTGCAACAAAAGAAGCCAAATAACAACAAAATATAGAACTACAACAAACAAAACAATTCCATAAAATTAAAACCTTGTTCTCGGCTGCATTTTGTGCATTAGCCAGTAACTGAGCGCAAAAGCCCCTGAAGAAAAAATGATTGATCAAGATTCAATATTTTTTTCATTCAACACGTGCTAAACAATGATTGCTTTTATGTTTTTAGTTACCTCGTAACAGGACGAGAAGCCTGGGGAAGGGGCTTGCCTTCGACCCCACGAACCGTAACAAGATTGCCTATGTCCCCAAGTGCACGACGATTCTTCTTCTCCGCTACCATGTTTTTCTGCTTATTAGCCGCCTCTCCTGTTAGTAGAACACAGTCACCAATATAAATACAAATCAGAGATATATTCATCAATCAAGAAGACAGTCCAAGATTATTCTATTATGCTCAAGATAATTGGGAGAAAAAATAGAGAATCTCCGTGTTACTACTTTGATTAAAAACAAAGAACAAAAAAAAAATAATAATAACCCAGAAAACCCATTCGAGTAAATGCCAGTAGAAAAAAACATAAATAAACAACCATAGAATCCCACATGATTAAGATTACAGAAAACCCAAAAAAACCATACCAAAGACAAGAATCAGATAAAGAGAAGAAGAAATTCAAGAATTAGACAACAGGATCTGATTAAATGCATCGCAAAACTTTCCCTATTGCCCAACTTCTTGAATCAAACACTGAACATAAAGAGTAAAGACCATCATAATAAAACCCAAAATCCATCAAACAACACAAAGACCCATCAACCCATTTCCCGATCACCAACAAAATCAACGCAAATTACGAGAATCAAAACTTAAAATCGGCATAAAAAAGTGCACAAAGAGGATGAAAGAGAAAGAGCCACGAGTACAGTACCTCCGTTGTGCTGTTGAACCGCCTGCCTCGACGCCATTGATGAAATACCTTGCGAGATATCTAAAACCCTCTTTCCTTTTCTATGTTAATTTTCTCCGATGATAGTAATTCTCTCTCTGTGGGAGGGTTTTAATGGAAAATGCGCACAGGCAATTTGGGGGAAAACCAAAGCGGAAATACGCCTTTTTTAAGCTGATGAGAGGGGGCGCTTGCGTCCCCAACGGTCGAATTTTAATTTATTTTCAGCCGTTGGACGGATTTTAGATCGGACGGTGTAGATTGCTTCAGATGAGCCTCGCGTTTTCTGATTTTAGCCGTTGAGATTCTGATCTGAGAGTGGTGAATAGTTACCGTTTGTTTACAACTTTGGGAGTTGGGTTAATTTATGTGTATTAAATATTTAAATTAGTTAACAAGTAGGGTTAATTTAAGTGTTTATTTAATTATTTATGCAAACTAATAGTGTTCGCTTATTAAGTTGAAATCAAATTAAAATAAAATAAAAAATAAGGGAAAAAATAATATGTTTTGTTGTTGCTGGATAGCTAACCAATTGAATCAAAATCAAATTGATTTTTCAGTTTTAATTTCCACAAAATAATATATTTTGATTGGATCATATTTTATGACTTATTACTTATGTCAATTAATCTTTCTTCTAAATTACAAGAAATATTAGTTTTTAAGAATTTAAAATTGGTCGTTGACACCCATTAATTAAATTACTTTTAATGGTCTTATAATTACCACATGTGTATTTTATATGTTGATAATTGTTTTGATGCCATCATACATATTGCAAAGCATGTAGAGTTTACATATACATTCAAATTAAAAAAATTCACAAACTTATGTGCGTCATAAGGCTTAGACAATCCATTTTAGAATAAAAAATACATACTTTTAATATCACATATCATACTCTTTTTTTATTATAAACTATGATATTTTTTTTTAATTGATGTACACACATTTGTTAAAAAAATATGTCGGCCTTACATAATACCTTCATATGAATTTCTATAAAAGCTAAGTGATCACCATTTCATCAACACTTGAATCATCATTCTTTGTTTAACATATAATCCCATCCATTTCCAAGGTATATATGTTCAACAAGTAAAAATTACAAATACAATTGCAAATAAGCAAAATAAAAATAAAAATAAAAAATCAAATGATTAGCAACACAAATAGGCTGTGTTACAAGTTACAACTGAAAGATTTAGGCAAACCAACAAAAAAACCATGCCTAGAGCAGATGCAACTACAAATAAAGAAGGCCAAAGATTGAGATTACAAACCCAAATCAAAATCATCTCCACACACAAACACACAAACCAAATCAGAAGCTCACANAATAATAAAAAAAAAAAATAAAAAAAAAAAGCTCTGAAAAACTACCACAATTAGTCGAAAATCACGTCGTCATTCTTTACAGCAAGGCGTCGTCATCTGGGCCGGCAAGCAAGACCTGCTCGTTTATTATTCCATTTAGAATGCAAAAGCAGATCAGCACAAGAAAGTTCACTTTTTTTAACATATATTTCATCTAATTTTTCTGGTTTATCGATCTTTATGTTTCTCTTTTTCTTGTTCTTCCCTTTTTCTTTTGTTTCGAGCTCAGTTACATCTGTTAGTCAGTTAGGCCTCAATGCTACTCTAAAAATAAGCTTCTCAACATTGTGTTTCTCACAAAATTATACAAAAAGCAAAACAAAACTCGACATTTCGTAGCTGTAAACTTTTTGTTTAAGTTCCAATCTTGAAAACTACTCACATTGGAGTCGGAAGCGTATTTTCTAGCGAGGATGAGGGCCCCATTTCGTTCGCGCTCAGATTCAAAAACGAGCACAAATGACTGTCCTTTTCTGGACTGCCAAAACAATGACTTGGCAGCCAAGTTACCACCTCCTCTGAATCCACATAGCTGAAAACATAATAATAATAATTATTTGAAGTTTTTATGACAAAAGTTCGAACTATATTTGAATTTTGGAATTAATACCTGCATCGATTTAGAATAAGATTCCCTGCCCTTTGTGATCCATCCTCGGCTAAGCTTTATCTTTGTTTTCCCAATATGAAAAAAGTGAGACGAGTGTGACGAATAATTACGTCCGTTCATTTGGGAAATAACTACCTGCAACATTAGAAAATATATTCACTAGGATCAATGAGTAAATTTTGATTAAAGTGAACAAGAAATTCATGATTAGGCATTGGTAAAAAGAATATTGTCAAAATTTGCAATAATTGACAAGCATATATACGGTGACTTACACTGAAGTCATTGCTTGATTTTCGAAGAAGTGTTTCTATATAGTTCCCCAAGTCCAAGCCTGCAAAAGGAAAAAATAAATAAAGAAAGAAAGAAAGAAAATCTTCTCTAAGAAAATTTAAACCGAATTATCATTCACCAACCTTGCTGAATTGGGCCATTTGTAGTGAGTGTAACCTTTAGGCCATTCGAACCTATGTCAGCTTGCAGAACTCGGCCGAGATCAATTGGCTCCGGAGCATAAACACACTTGTTTGCACCTGAAAAATATTTTTTTTTAAAAAAAAATATGCATGTAAGTTTAAGAAACTATTTTTTTTTTAAAGGGACAAGCAAGAAAAAACGATGGGAAAGAAATTACAGAATCACATGGGCAGGTACTGAAAATGATTTATTGTATTAAATCATACGCTCAACAAATTTATATATATATTAGAAAAATGAGAATCGATACCTAAAATGGGTTCTCTACGGCTGCATTGAGAAGACAATCTGAACCATTGGATCGAACATTTCCCGAGCTCTACTGCTTCATCCGAACAGGTCTGAATTCGTAAAATCGAACCTAAATTCTCAGCCCCATTTAACTCATAAAATCGGGATACGTTTTCCTCAGTTTTCACGCTCATTGCCAGCTGTAAAACCAATAGGACTTANAAGTTCCGGGTATGACAATTGAAAAATTGCATATATTGGTTGAAAAAAAATGTCTGAAGGTTACGACTATTATGTACAGAACAAACGACAAACTGAAACAGAACATTTGATAAAACAGCGGACCTCGTTTTGAAGCTGAAGTGAAATTGTACACTTCTCTCGGATTTGAAGCCTCAGTTCTCGAAGTTCGTGCTCCATGTCCACTACCTGAAGTATACACAGAATTGAGTCGAATAAAATGTAAAAAATTACAAACACAAACAAGCTGAAAATATAAACTTAGCTTGCTATAATTTGTTGAGGCAATTTAAAAACTTAATAATCATGAACTCCATTTGACCTAACGGCAAATGCATTTTTCGGTCCGGCCTGATAAAAGTTATTAAATTGGAAATGGCCATAGTATTTGTTTCCAATTCTGCGGAAAAATAGAAAGGCAACAAGATAATTTTCCAATGCACCTTCCTAGGCTGATGCATAAGTTTAATTCTCCGGGCCTCTTGAACCTCCTCAATTAGTCCCTCCATTTCCTATAAGCATAAAAGCCCGAGTCAAAAGTCTTTTTCTTTTACACATATAGCAACGTTTAGT